AGAGAAAGGGGGGGGGGGGGGGGGCGCGACCGGGACCACGACCCACAGACAACACACAAACTGATTTCATGGTAAAGAATCCGAGATGGAAAATGTAGAACATTTTTAGCAGGCAGAGTGAGAGCTATTTCTGTCTTGTGGCAAATGAACCCCAAATAAAAAGTGAAAACAACTATAACAGATCAAGGGGGAAGCTGGATGATGAAGAAAGGCTTTGTCTTTAAATAAAAATGGTGCAGGAGGAATGAGTATTTTCATATAAAGAAACAAAGGTGCCAAAGGCAGACCTGTCAGGTATCAATGAAGTTGTGGTAACTGACAAAGTACCTTCAAGACAACATACACTGATCCCAGGGAGCTACAGAGGATAAGGATTCCCACAGGGCAAATAATAAAAAACATGACTCTAGCTGTGTTCACTGCTATACCATCATTCTAAACCCTGCTCCATCTTTGTAGTATGATTAGTAATCCTCACAGCTCCTTGCAGGTTCCAGAAATATCTAAGCCCACTGGATATGGAGCTGTGAAGTAGCCCTTTTCAGTTAGGAAATTTAGAAAACACACTTTCTGATTCTCTGACAAGACATTAAAGGTAAGTAATGAAGCAAAGTAGACGAGGTGTGACGGTGGTAGTGACCAAGAAGAGGAGGCTCAGAAGAGGCAGAACACAAGTGAAGAGAAAAACAAGGAGAAAAGTTAAGATAAAGAAACTAAGTGTAGGGCTGGAGAGATGCCTCAGAGGTTAAGAGCACCGACCGCTCTTCCAGAGGTCCTGAGTTCAAATCCCAGCAACCACATGGTGGCTCACAACCATCTGTTATGAGATCTGGTGCCCTCTTCTGGTGTGCAGATATACATGGAAGCAGAATGTTGTATACATAATAAATAAAATCAAGAAAGAAAGAAAGAAAGAAAGAAAGAAAGAAAGAAAGAAAGAAAGAAAGAGTAATTTCCAGCTATCCCCAGAATAATGTAGTCTCTCCAGTGGCAAATGCAAGTGAGTGCCACAAAGTGCTTTCCCTTAGATACCAGGTGCTTCACACACTGTCCTGAATTAGTACTTAGAACAATTACTGTCTGGGACTACAGCCCAGCGCCTGAACCTTTCCTCATGTGTGGTTCTCAAAACAGAAAGAAAAAAGAATCTTTTTAACTGCATAAATAAAACAATGTTATAGATTCCATAAGGAACTTAGGAAATTGCTACTAAGAAATGGTGCAGTGTTCACTTGAGGTAGGAGAGGACAACTTGCAACAGAGCCAACCACACAGTGGAGAGATGGGAAAAAGCAAACCCTCACATTTTCTAACACTGGAAATGCATTACCTCCAGATTACTTCGCATGACCTTCTCTTCTTCTAATTCTTTGCGTAGCTTTTCCAGTTCTTTCCTAAAGGCAAAGTTTACCGGTCAGTTTTACAGTCTATTTCACTGATGTTAACTAACACACACACACACACACACACACACACACACACACACACACACACCTCTCCTATAGAGCCTCTTTAGTACAAATAAGTTCCTAGGAACAATGACCATGTTCATTTAGAAAACTTTCAAATTCTTTAGTTTGAGTAGTTCAATGTAAGATGAAAATCAAACAAACAAAAACAGCACTTTCTGTTCTTCAACAGGATCTGAGTTTAGTTCCAGCACTAACATGAAGTGACTTACAACCACTCATAACTTCAACTCCAGCAGACCCTGATGTCCCGCTCTGGACTTGGTAGGGAATACACTCACATACACATAACCACAAACAGAAACATACACAATAATAAAAATAAATGTCTTTGGTGTCATTTTTTCCCTCCCCATATAAATAACACTAGAGACCACTAGAAAAAGTCATAATAAAACTTACTATTATAGAGGGTTCTGGGTTGTGAGGGTGGGGTAGGGTGGGGCATAACAGAGCTAAAATTGGGGGATGGGACTGGAGAAATACTTTAGTGATTAAGAGTACTTGCATTTACAGAGAAGATCTGGGTTTGGTTTCCAGCACCCACATGGTAGAAACCAGACCAATGACACATTCATTGCAATGAACACTTGCAAGTAAAGATGAATGGACTAAATGGTATATACTGTGTGACTTAACAGGCCACACTACAGTTTCCACAAAGAGATTTTTCTTTTCTTTCAAATTTTATTTTGTTTTATCTTGCATGGGGGGAGGGGTGTTGCCAGGGCAGAGAACAGATGTGGAGGACAGGGAGATGAGTGGGACTGAGATGCATGCTGTGTCGTCCACAAAGAAATCAACAGAAAGCTAAATGGGGGGAGAATGGGGAGTGACAAAAGTATCTAAGATAAAGAAATTAAGCCAGGCAGTGGTGGTACACATCTTTAATCCTAGCACTAGAGAGGCAGAGGTAGGCAGATCTCTGAGTTTAAGGCCACCCTGCATACCAGTCTACAGAGCAAGTTCTAAGATAGCCAAGCTACACAGAAAATCTTGTCTTTTAAAAAAAGGATAGATAGACAGACAGAGAGATGATTGATAGACAGACAGACAGCTAGGCAAATTCAAAGCTTCTAGAGACAGAGAAATAAATAACATGGCTTATAAAAGCAGTTCTCCATAATCACCTAAGACACATTTTGTAGGCTGGACACCCCAGTACTCAAAACAAATGACAAAGTGACTATCACCAGGTTAATTACAAGGCAAGTTACAATTTATCTGGTAAGATAACTGGACTTCAAGTTACTCTCTATTGCTTTCAATTAAGTATTACATTAAATTCCCCAAACCAAAATATTCCAACCAATAATCTACAATCTTTAACTCATGCTATTACTTTTTCAATTCCTTCTAATATACATAGTGTTTAAGTATATATTTTGGACATGTCTACATAGTAATTCTGTAAGTATTTGTTGTTGGTTTTTTTTTTTTTCCCAGAAGTTTTTAAAATATATTCAAGCTGTTAAATTTTACTTTTATTTTTTTTTCTTTTAAAAAATAGTGTAAGTAGCCAGGCGTTGGTGGCGCATGCCTTTAATCCCAGCACTCGGGAGGCAGAGGCAGGCAGATCTCTGAGTTCAAGGCCAGCCTGGTCTCCAAAGCGAGTGCCAGGATAGGCTCCAAAGCTACACAGAGAAACCATGTCTCCAAAAACCAAATAGTGTAAGTAGTTTATTTAGCAAGTAGAAATTCACCCAGAGGTCATGGAGTAAAGTGACTCAAAATAGACAGAGGATAGTATCTCAATTTTTTCACTTTAAACTGACATTTGGTATTCAAATATCTAGTGTTTTATTGGTTAGTTGTTCTGGGGTCATAGAAAACAAGAAAGGGGAATTCACATAGTAATAATATCACTAAGTATAGCAAATTTCTAAACTGACATGTATAGACTTCTGTCTTTTAATATTTCCTAGATAAATTCTCCTAAAGAGCAACATACAGAAATGGCTTAAAAATTATTACAAAAGGAGCTGGAAGGGTGGCTCAGGTATTAAGAGCACTGACTGCTCTTCTAAAGGATTGAAGTTCAGTTACCAGCACTCACATGGTGGCTCAAAACTGCAGCTCCTTCCCAGGGGAGCCAATACCCTCTTTTGGCTTCCACAAGCACCAGGCACACACATGATACACAGACATACATACAGGAAAAAAAAAAAAAAAGAAAGAAAAATAAATTGAAAAAATTTACAAGATCTATTGAGAAAAATTCTCATAGAAAACATAAAAACCTGGGCCTGACAGTTTTATCTCAGATGTTTTTGTTGTTGCTTTGTTTTTTGTTTTTTGTTTTTTTTGGGGGGGTAATGGGAAGTTCAAAAGTTCAAGGTCATCCTCCACTATGTAATGAATTTAAGGATAACATGGGGGCCCTGTCACAAAAAGCAAGGGTTTGTCTTTCTCAGTTAACATTCTAGCCTCACTGAGGAAGAAGCTCAGGAGCTATTGGCAGTTTCTGGCTGCTGAGAGAAGAATCAGTTTCTTCAGGGTTTTGGACCCTGATAGCTTGCCTATGCTCCAATGGATGACGTTTCGTCCTTGTGCAGCTGGACCCAGAGGGTTATTAAAAGTAAGTAAATAAAAAAGAGAACACATAGTTGAGAGCATCTAAGGATGATGGCTTAGAAAGGGGGTAGTAAGAGGTAGACATGGTCAAAGTAATTACACACATACAATATCACACACAAAATACATATAAAATAAAGAAGCGGGGCTGGAGAGATGGCTCAGCGGTTAAGAGCACTGGCTGTTCTTCCAGAGGTCCTAAGTTCAATTCCCAGCAACCACATGGTGGCTCACAACCACCTTGAATGAGATCTGGCGCCCTCTGATGGCATGCGGGCAGAAGACTGTGTACATAATAAATAATAAAATCTTAAAGAAAGAAAGAAAGAAAGAAAGAAAGAAAGAAAGAAAGAAAGAAAGAAAGAAAGAAAGAAAGAAAGACGTGGGTGTTCAATTCCCAAATCCCACATGGTGGCTCACAACCATCTACAATTACAAATGTTGCACACTCCGGTTCTCTCATTCTCTCTCCCTCTCCCTGTGTAGTGTGAACATATTTGGCCCCCATAAGCTCACAGGAAGTGGCACTATTAGAGGTGTGGCCTTGCTGGAGGAAGTATGGTCTTGCTGGAGAAGGCTGGATGACACATGCCTTTAATCCAGACCTTGAGGCTGGAGGGCACACCTTTAATCAAGGCCACATCTTCTGTTGGAAGTGTGACACTGGGGGCAGTTTTTGAGGTATTTTTCTCAAGCTTCACTCAGTGTGGCAGTGCACTTCCTGTTGCCTGAGTAAAGATGCAGGACTCTTAGCTCCATCACCTGCATACCACCATGATGGACTGAACCTCTGAACTGTAAGCAAGCCCCCTCAATTAAATGTTTCTTTATAAGAGTTGCCATGGTCATGGTATCTCCTCACTAAATAGAAATCCTGAGACACCCCCTTAACCTCCCCATAGAAAGCATAAGTATGGAGTATGGAGTATGGAGTATGACTCCAAACACAGTATGGAGTCAGTTCTCTCCTTCCACCATGTAGATCTTAGACACCAAACTTATTTAGAGTTATCTCACTAGCCCAAATATATCTTAAAGACAGTATTATTTTTATCCTGGTTTCATAATCTAACACTGAATGTTTATTTCTGATTTGTTCCCACCTTCCATTTCATGGACAGACTGATGCTGTTTATGTAGCCACAATCATTCATCATGACTTACACACTGTACATTTCTCAACTAGTATACCAATATGTGTCGTTTACACATTCTTTTGCTAATGTTCTGATTTTAGATTTAACAAAACAAAATCCCTTTCATCTACCTTCATTTTTCCAGAGAAATTTGAGATGATGAAAAATAATCTTTGCAAAGATTCCTAAAATATGTAATTGCACACAATAAATCAAAACTATTGTTCTCATTCTACAGATAATTTAAGAGAACCTACAGGCAATTTATGTATGCAAGTGCTACTTCACTAAAAATCCTAACCCTGGGCTACGTGTGGTGGCACACACCTGTAATAGCAGCACTGGACACAATGAGACAGGAGAATTAAGAGTTCAAGGTCATACTAAATGTGAGAGTACAAGGCCAGACAGAGCTATGTGATATCTGTCTCAAAGGAGTAGACTTGGTATCCAACGTGTAAAGCAACAAAACTTACAAGTCAAGAGAATTTTGTAACTGGTAGGAGGTATTCAACATTTAAAGAGGAATGAGCATACAGTTTCTACCATGTGTAGTACAGAATTCGTGAATTTTTTTTTTTTTTTCAAATTAGATCAACCAAAGGACTCAAGGAAGACCTGGCATATCAAATGACAAATTCTACAATCACAATATATACAAGAGATAATATATTTCAGTACTTACCCTAAATAAAATCTTTGTCCCTATCTGCTATTTTTTAATTTATTTTTATTTTGTTATTTGATGTAGAGTCTACACAGCCCTGAACTAACCTAGAACTGTGTTGATTAAGGTGGCCTTGAACGCAGGAGATTTTCCCTACATCTGCCTCCAGAGTGTTGGGATTAAAGGCATCCATCACCATACCAGGCCCTACTTTATATTGTTAATACTACTTTTCATCATACAGAATTCTAGGACCAGTGCGTATTAAGGCAGAAACAGTTAAAATTAAACTCAGGGTCTAAGCATGAATTTTATATCCTATTCTAAGAAATCCTTTGGGGGAGGAATGTATACAAATGAGATGGGATAAGCACACTCATCCTCTTTAATTAGATTAGCTGATCTTTCATCTGATTTATTCATTGAACTTCCAAGATTATCATTAAAATATCAATAGATCAAAAGATCTGTAAACCAGTAAGAAACAAGGTTGAGTGTTGGCTTTGCCATTGAAGAACTGTGCAACTATTAGGTAAGTAGCTTTACTTCTACACCCTGATTTCCTCATTAAAGGGGGGGAGGGATCTACAATAGGGTATCTTTTGAACTTCTTTTAGATCTAAAACTTTTAATTAGGCATCTCCTACTATATACCATATCAAAAACTTTCAGGGCTGTGGACATAGGTCAATGGCAGTAGAATGCATTAACTCAACACTCTGGACTTGATCCATAACACTACACAAACAGCAACAAATACTTTTAGAGTTAATAGGAAGGCTTTAGAGATCTCTTGTGGGTTAGAAACCATTCATTTTGTAACCATATAATGTAAGCCTGGTTGAAATACAGGTCAAAGTCCTCTAGAAGATAAGTATGAGCATATGGATCCTTCCCAAAACACCAATGCAGTTTTCTCAGGATTTTCAAGACTTAATGATATCGGTGCCCAGCCAGCTCCTGCCTAGGCACACAGGTACATACAGATCTTCTAGAATAGAACACTGCAACAAGTTTCCAACCAAGGTTTTTGCTGAAAGTGCTATAATACAAATGTCTTTGAAAACGTGCACTTGTGTACTCTGGAGATTGGGGCTTCACCTGACAACACCTAAAAGAAGTCTTTGGATATGTTGGGGGGCAGGCTTAAGAGAAAAGTAAGAGTTACTTACCCATGATCCCTTCTCAATGCATCTACCATACCCAGTAATTCATTCATCTGAGCTCTAAGTTCATCCAGGGGACTTTTTTTCACATCATCTGATTCTGCTTTAGCTTTGAGTTCTAATGGAGTTAGGAAAGCAGATGTATTTACTTTAGAAGCACTTGAAGGTGTTGAAAGAGATGGCTGAAAAACAAAAATGTTTCGAATTATATTTGTCTTTATATTTAATACATATTTAAATTCAGAAGACTATGTTTTCTTCTGCTTTTTTTTTTTTTTTAACACAAGTCCAAATGTCCAGGCTGTCTTATAACTCAAGATCCTCATATATTAAACTTCTAATCTTCCTGCTCCCCGCATGCCAAATATTGAGATAACAGTTTATACAGTACTAGGGATTAAACCCAGGGCTTTGAGCATGCTAGGCTAGCACTCTGAGCTACATTCCTAGATCACAATATTTTTACAACAAGAATACAAGCAATTAATGAGTATATATTAAGCATTCCTAATTTGTAAATCCCTAACCTTAAAAAATTCTACATCAGACTGTTTCAAACTGCAGGCATGCCTAAATGAAGGTAAGGAATTACATGAAACAAATGAATTTTATGTTCAGTCTTGAATCCCAAAAAAAAACATATAATTACACATGTGAAAATTTTCCAGAATTCTGACTTCAAGCATTTCAGAAAAAGGATATTCAGCTATGCTTCGAGATAAATGGGACCCACTGGACTGGATGTAGACTGCTTACTGCCTGAACTGAGTTCCAACCAGAACTTCAGATTAGACAAGCTTCTTGTAGTAAATGATAACTAAGACAGAGACCAACAACTGGACAGTGTGCAGAGAAAAGGGGACTTTGGAGTACTCAGTCCTAAATGGGATGCCTATGCTTCGCTCATGGTTCAGGGATCTAAGCAGAACAGGAGGTAGAAAGATGCTAAGAACCCAGGGTGGTGGGTGACTTCAAAGGACACAACAGGGCAGGTGCACATACGAACTCATAAAGACTGGATAGCACGAACAGGACCTCACTAGCTCAAACCAGACAAACTTCCAGCTCAGAGAAGGGGAAGTGGACATATTATAGTCCTTCCCCTGGCAAAGAAGCTGTATGCAGGAGAGAAAATCAGTTTCCTTCAGTGGAGTGAAGCTAAGTGTATATTGACCACGCTCCAGGGCCGGCCCCACACTCAGGTGTAGTTGGTCAACACAAATTGGACTCCTTGTTTGCTTGTGGGTTGGGTTTTGTTAAGACAGAAAAATCATGAAGTTGGGTGAGAAGGAAGAGGTGTGTCTGTGTGTGTGTGTGTGTGTGTGTGTGTGTGTGTGTGTGTCTGTGTGTGTGTGTGTGTGTGTGTGAAGTGTTGGAGGAGGGACAAGAATATGATAAAAAAAATATACTGCATGAAATTCTTGAAGAATAAAAACATTAAAAAAAAGATAAATGGTAAAACTCTGAAATTCCAAAAGCAGTTTGGTATTCATTGCTGGGGGAGGGGGGAAATAAATCACTAGTGGTTTTATTTAAGGAAGGAGATACTCACTGGCTTATCTAGTGGATAGTTTACCCAGGAGGGCATCTACAAGTAAAACTCTATCAACATCAAGGTGCTATTTCCATCTTTATTATTACAGATATCCAAAGCCTCACTTAAAAATAATTATGAAGAATTAAGTCCACAGACTACTTGAGGATCTCACTAAAATCAGTCCTTTTAGAAAAGTTTCAAGAGACTGATGACAATATAGACGATCAGATTAAATGATTTGATAAACTCAAGAAGTGACCAAGGGCTGGGCATTGGTGGTGCATGCCTTTAATCCCAGCACTCGGGAGGCAGAGGCAGGTGGATCTCTGTGAATTCAAGGCCAGTCTGGTCTCCAGAGCGAGTGCCAGGATAGGCTCCAAAGCTACACAGAGAAACCCTGTCTCAAAAAACAAAAAAAAGAAAAAGAAAAAGAAAAAGAAAAAGGAAAAGTGACCAAGAACAAACTTAACTATATGTGTAAACTGTCCTTAATAAAAACGATTAGCTTTTAGAAAAGAAACATTACCATGTAACAGATGGGTTCATTCATTCTTCCACTAATCCAGTACATACAGAATGCTAAAGAGGGTGCCAAGAACCAAACTAAAGAATGAATGAACAAATCATGATTTCCAACCTGATCACCTTCATAAGTAATTAAGCTGAAGTTTTATGGGGGTTGAGCCTGGTTATACATGCCTATGGAGGCTGAGGTGGGAGGATCAACACAAGTTTGAGAGAATCTGGTAAACATACGAAGGTACAAACCAGTCAGGGCCACAGACAGAGACCCTATCTCAAAACAAAACAGGCCCCAGCCCCCAAATTATTTTATGTGAACTAATTCCAAAGTGTATGTTCAATAAGATAATGAAACAATGTACAGACCTATGCCTTGGAAATATGAAACATAAAGCACATTCTTTAAAGTAAGGTAAGTGCTTCTATTATTGAAAGAGCTGATGTGACAAAAACAAGAATTACTCTATTTCTTGACAGAAGAGAGAAAATAATCTTTCTAAAAGTATACTTTAAATTCTCTGATTGATGGCTACAACACATCTTAAAAATTAAAACAATTCTTAGGCCATGGTGGGTCTACCTTTGACGAGTAGCTCGTGTCCTTTTTAAGCTCCAACAACTTTAGGTTGCCACTATCATCTTCTTTTGGTAACTTCATGGTTTTCTCTGGGCTTTGAGTTGGCTACATGTTCAACATTAAAAAAAAAAAAAAAATCAAGAAACGGATTTTATTAAAAGGAAACTTTAATAAGTATGTTCACAATACAGCCAACATTCCCACCACTTAGCTGTTGCTGTTCCCACTGCTCACAGCTGTGTGCACAGTCTGTAACTTCAGACTGAATAACACTTTTACATATGTGAAATGCAAAACCAGCTTTCCTCATAGAAGCAAAACTTTTTTCCACTGAGGTAATTTTAAAGCAATACAGTGCTGATGAATTAATATAACACTGAAGTAGATTTGCACTCCAAACGACAAATAGAAAGCATGAAAAGAAGTTACTCGGCTATGAGAACAAACACTCCAAGAGGAGGACTTCCCAAGCAGTGGGGAAAGTACCTCCCTCCTTCCCTGGATCTGCTGCTCAGCTCTCCTCACTGACCCTGCCGTGCTGACTGAAGAACACAGGCCCTGCTCTCCGCTGGCCCTGCTCTGTGATGGTGGTCTCAACACAACTTCATTTTCTGATTCTGCAATCTTTCATGCAAAGACCTTATAGAACTGACCATATCGCTTTTCCTGCATTTTCTTAAGTAAACAATCACAAAGCTCTCTTCCAGACTTTAAATTTGATGTGGCTATAAACCCTCTCATTCTCATCTTAAAGAGGCCTTAGCACTTTCTTAATCTTCTATGTTTTCCTAAAGTAAGGGAAACTCACAGAATGTCCACCATTGAAGCGGCCAGGCAACCTTCTTCCAGGCATCTTGGGTCTATTTGCAGTGAGATGTAACAAGTTCTCTGAGGAAGCTATGTCATCAAAATTTACAGTATCTAGAGAATAAAAATAAGTATTACCAACTAAGAGAGTTGTTCCTTCTAAAAGGTAAAACTAGTTATTTCTGGCTTCTTACACTATGAATTAAAAGTCATCACTAAGTAGAAAAGCTCATAAATTGATCAGTGCTTTATATATGCATTTGGAAAAAACACCTATGCTCTTTAAAAAAAAATCTATCTTTCTACATATATATAGTAAGACCTTTTTAACCATGTAACAACAGTCAGGCTCAACAACATGTTCTTATAGGAAGAATTCTGTACCGTGAACTGCAGTAGACTATAGAAACTGTTATCTGAGGTTCTCATTTTTTTTTAAATCTATTTAAATTCTCATTTAATTACAACTTAAGAGAAAATTTACATGTTCAACATTTTAAACTTCATACTATAGACTAATACCAAATTTGAAGAACTAAATTGTATCTGGTTAACTGTACCTGTTGCTTTCTATGTATTCTCAATGTAAACTGAAGTTATGATTTAATTACATGAACATATATGGATGTTATAGTCAGGACTCAAAATTTAGACCTAAGAATCATAAGCTAGTTTTAACTCTAAGGCAAGTAAGATACCAAGTATAAATACTACATAGATCACTAATTTGTTTCTCTGCAATCAATCAAAGGCTAGGAGTTGACCCTTTACCAAATAATTTGGGTTTAAGGGCATATAAGACATATGTGGTAAATCATACCCTTCAAACAACGGAATGCATTGCCTGGAGTGTTCTAGAGTAGCCAGAAAACCTTAAACAAGTTGTTATTACTTTGAAGTTCAGATGTCAACACATGGCACTAAATCTTTTGTAAATTCCTGATATTGTCCAAGTCAGTCTAATATCCGGTAGCTCAGATAAGGCACTAGGAATATCAACCACAGTCAAAATATCCCAGTCTTCCAGGAGACTCATCTTGTTCATTACCATTTGTCTGACAGTTGTCTGACTTATCAGACACTTTCATGCCCAAATTCAATGATATGCTATTTCTTTATAAGAGACCTAAAGTAAACATACTCATCAATGTTAACCTCAAAAGTTTAATTCATCAAACTTTATATCCAAAGTAACTTACAGAATTTTCATTTAAGAGACGGAGAATACAAGGTAAAAAGAGTCATCACTTTGGAAATATGCACTGTATAACTGGAAGTAGTGGCTGACTATTAAGTTTTTTATAGATTACTTTTTGTGTTCTATCTTGGACAAATATATCACAGCAGATGCTATAATTTTTTCAAAAAAAAATTGAGTTTAATTTTCTGGTCTTTTGATAATTTTAATTATAAAATATAGCAAACCATAGAAAGAAATAAGCAACATTAGTGGAAAATTAATTATATAATCTAAAAGGTTTGTTTTAAATGTTAAGTATACCTCATTCTGTTTATAAATATATTAAGAAATAATTCGCATAAAAAGTATGTTCAACTGATAAATGTGCATTAGCAGCCTATGGGAAAACTCTGAAAAGCAACACCCTACCATTTTGAGCAAAGAAATAATTTCAAATGCATATTTAAGCAACTTGTAGAGAAAAGAGAAACAAAACAAAAATATGGAAGAAATTAAGGAAAAATGAAACAGAAAGGGTAGTTTTTTTTTAAAATATAGGTTTACAAAGTACTCATATAAAATGCCTTCATATGTCTAAATTAGGGTTACAACACCAAGTCAACTTTACCATTCTAAAACTCTCTCAGGTTCTCCATTTAAGACATCAAGTAAAACAGAACAGTGCACATTTTGGATTTATGATAGACCTAACCCTTTATAAGTGATCTAAGATTAATTAACAATGGATTTACACTGTGAAAATGGTATAAAGGCATCAACTTTTACAATCCCATCTGTCTCTCTGACAGCCACTTACACTTTTGTGTATTCTAAGGAAGACATGGACAGGTTTTTAAGAGCCAAGTGATATACCAATTGTGGGAGAAAATTTGATTTGTATGACTGCCAAATTTTTGGAGATGTATTATCAAAAGAGTATTTTAAATTATAATCAAAAAAGGTTTTCAAAAATGAACTTCAATTTATTTTAAAATGGAAAACCAAAAGGGTTAGAATAGACAAACAAAAATGTACACTTTTAGCAGAATTACAAAGAAAAAAATTGATGTGCACTACCTACATATATTGAATATATTACTTTGATTTCTTTTATAAATTGTTATCTTACCAAAATGGAGAAGGGTAGGATAATTTCCTGACACGTAAGAAGGGAGGAAACATGGCAAACAGGCTAGGAAACAAAATCTGGAAAGAAAAGTCAAGGATAGGAATGTCTAGAAAAAAGACTAAACCAAAAAAATTATTTTACAAAGCAGGAAAAAAAGAACAGTTGTAGATGAATAGAAGCATTTCAATGTCTAGCAACCAAGATTATCAGAACCTACACAAAACGTGTACTTATTTTAGATGTATTCCTTTGTCTTTCAAAAGTAAAATTCTCAATTACTATTCATTTCAATATACAATAATAAGATTTTTAAGTCTCATTATATTACTCACTGAATAATACCAAGACAGTTTCTAAAAGGACAGCTTATTACTGTAAAAGGCCAAGGGTACAAATCAATGTTCTAATATCTCATAAGATAGTTGTAACTAAAATAACACCATCGTTTAGTCAAGTTCTAGTGTTTGGTGCATTACAGTGATAAAAGTGATTTTAATTTTATGGCACTGTAAAATAAAAATATGCCAATAGCAAGCAGTATTTTTAAATTCTTCACTATAAATCTGATTCACCACAATTTTTGACATCTCTCATTATATATATACACACATATATACATAAACATATATATATAGAAAGAGAGATTCTAAGGCCTTAATGCTAGCTCTCCATGACTAAGCAAAATAATGATTACTAGGAATAGGAACACCATTTTGTTCCTAATTGGGATATAAATCTTACAGTATATGTTTACTACTTAATAGTAGCCTTATTTGAAAAGTTCCATCATAAATTATTCCTGAAAGAAATACATGAGTAAACATTAAAAAAGCAATTCAAAGAAAAGTAAACCATCTATAAAGTTAAGAGAAAGAATAATTTATTTAACAATGTCATGGATGCGTTGGTATTAAATATTTTAATAAAAATTTACATTTAATTTTAAAAGAATCTATCAAAGAGAAAAATAATCAAGAGATAATATGCTTATATCAAAGGACACTTCATCGGAACTTTTCAATGTAACTGAAATGCTGTTAGTAAATTCTTTGCTTTTTTTTTTTTCTTTTTTCTTTTTTGGTTTTCTGAGACAGGGTTTCACTGTGTAGCCCTAGCAGTCCTGGAACTCACTTCGTAGACCAGGGGGCCTCCAACTCACAGAGATCAGCTTGTCTCTGCCTCCCAAGTACTGGGATTAAAGGCATGAACCACCACTGCCTGGCATAAAATTTTCTATCTACTGTCCTAAAACTAATTTGAAAAATGCTTTGCTTCTTAAAAAATATGTTATCTTAGAAATGTGACTGTTAACTGATAATTAATTGGTAATGGCAATGAGATTTTCTTTAAAACTAACTTTTGATGAAGCACTTGAAAAAGAGAAAGAAATTAAAGCATGGTTCCTAACAGCTCTACAATTTGTAGCAATACTATATTATGACCATACTGGTGACAGAACTGAAATTATTTCATACTACTAAAAGAAAAAAAAAAACTCAAGAAACTAATATTCTAAGAATGACTTTCTTGTATTTTTAAAATTTCTTCGTGTATTTTTAAAAGCATCTAGATTTACAATATATACAATGTTTATTTGTAGCTCTACAAACAGGAAATTGTGGAAATGAGGTAAGAAAATCATGTCCTTCCTAGATCACAGAAGAAACAGAATGAGACAGATTTTAAAAGGTGGAGGGGCTAAAGAAACAAAATATTCACAGTATCCTCCACAACCGGTGTCCCAGGGGGACAGAGGAGAAAGAGGCTCATTTGGTCACAAGTTAAGCAAGAAAAATGATACTGGGAATAAACCTGCCTATTAAACAAACAGTAACCAAAGTTTTAACACCAAAGTCAGTGTGGAGTCTATTACACTATGTCACGTCAAATTATTTAAAAGACAATGAACCTCTCAGTAAAGTTTTCATGTATGTTTTACTCAATGTGCCTGTGAGTGGGTGCTGTGCATATGAATACAGGTGCTCAGGGGGACCAGAAGAGGGTTTCCTATTCCTGGGATCTGGAGCAACAGGGAGCTGGGAGCTGTCCAGTGTGGGTGCTGGGAACTGAACTCATGTTCTCTGAAAGAGCAATACTCTCTCTTAACCACTGAGCCATCTTGCCAACCCTTATTTTACATTTTCTGAAACTTACAAACTACGCTCTAGCCTAATGCCAAACCCAAGGTTGTACTTAACCCAAAACTCACAGGCGAGGTAGAACATTTCTGTATTATAAAGACAGATTTAAAAGTCCAAAACTGAAAATACTAGAAAATCAAGCCTTCAAATGGCAACAAGAAAATTTAACAGCTTGTGTCAAGGTGTAGGTAGAAGTCACAGTCAAAACAAATGTGCACTAAAAATATTATCAAATTACCTTAAGGAAACATATTTAAAATTATATGCACACTGTACGAAGCTAATTTTGTTTGAAATGATGTTTATAAGAGAAGCTATTTGGTGTCACCCATGACACCTTAATCCTAGCAAAGATCCTGTGTTTAGTATACTAGGGATGTAACAACTGCTCAGTAAAGAACTGGTACTTAATCCCCCAAAATTATTATTACTGAAGACAGAGCACAAATGTGAAACACCAAATTAAGTAAAAAGAATCAAGGACAATTGCTTGAAAGTTCACTGCTAATTTCCTGCCTTATGACAGTTTCTAACTAGTAACTAAAGAGTAG